TAAATACTTTTCATTACATAGGAACACAATTAATCATCAAATCGTGTAGGGCGTTTAACATGACGTTTAGGACGAGAGTCCTTAAATGCAATAACATTCCTTGATGAATTGTTTGTCGGGTTATAACTATTTTTTTTTTCTTTTGCACGACTTTGCACTTCATCATTTTCTACACTAGTTGGAATCACTTTGAAATAAGCCATATTACGTGTTATACTATGATCTCTATTACTAGCTGTTACCATAGTTCCTTTTACACTAATCACTTTATATGGTTTTGTATCATACGGCATATCTAACTTTCCCTCTTTTTTCTTTTTAACGAGAACAGTGTCACCAACCTTTATGAACTGTTCCTTTGCACGTTGATCATGGGCAATTTTCATTTTGCCCTTGGCTAGTGCATCCTTCTGAGCGAGACGTTTATCCGTTACCTCGGCTGGCATGACGGGTAGTGCGATTCTCATAGGACGTCCAAATAAAAGTTCGCCAGGCGACTTGCCCAGTGTTCCATGTGGTGTTGCACGGTAGTTCCTGAGAAAAGCATACATAGCTTGTTTCCAGGATCGTCCTTCGGCATGAGCACAGCGTACCGCTTTCATGAGAGGTTGCATGAATCTCTCAACTTCTCCATTAGCTTGAGGACGTAGTGGCATCACACGGCGGTGTTTGAATCCAATATGCTCAGCAAAGTTGACAAAGTCCTGTCCATTGAATGGCGGTCCATTGTCCGTCTTGACAACTTCAGGAATGCCAAAGTTTGAAAAGATCTTGTCAAGTTTCGGGATGACGGCCTTTGCAGATGTGGAATTGATGATTTCTACTTCTGGATAACGTGAGTGATCATCAATGACTACCAACAAGTACTCTCCAGTTGGTAGTGGTCCGCAGAAGTCCATCGATACTTCCGTCCATGGTGCAGCAGGTAGTGGTGAAGGTTATAGAGGTGTTGGTCTTGAAGTATCCACTGCAGCTTGGCAAGGGACACAGGCATCATGCATATCCTTTGCGTGACGATCAATGCCAGGAAACCACACCTTTTCTCGTAGCAGCTGTTTGGTCCTAACAAGACCGTGGTGTCCTTGATGTGCAAGCTTCAGAGCACGTTGCTGGAGAACAGCTGGAATCACGATACGAGTACCTCGCAGCACAGTGTCGCGTTGTTGCGTAACACTTAATTCTGTCTGGATGCGTTCAAGTGCTTTGAATGCATCTTGGTCAACTCTTGAGGGTGGGATGCGTGGAAACTTTTTCTTAGTCAATGCATCCACTGTTGCTTGCAGAGTTGGGTCCTCTAGGGTTGCAGTACGGATTTCATCAAGAGTAAGAGCCTTAGGGACTGCATCACAGGTTACAGAGTGTACATATTCCTCGGCAACTTGCTGATGCTTGGTGATGGTGAAACTGTTGGCAGGATGTCGACTGATGTAGTCAGCGGGATTGCCTGCACCCGGCTTGTATTTCACCGTAAAGTTGTATGGTTGCAGACGAAGAGCCCATCTCTCAATGCGAGCTGGTGGTTTGGACTTTGGATTATTGAAGATGGTCTCCAACGGTTTGTGGTCAGTGACTATCGTGGTGAAGGGTGCACCAAGCAGATACACATTGAAGTGTTCACAGCCCCATACTAGAGCAAGAGCTTCCTTCTCTGTCTGACTGTATCGTTGCTCAACATCTGTGAGAGAACGGCTGGCGTAGGCAATTACTACTCTGGAATCTGGTTGACCAGGTTTGTGTTGGGCTAAAACAGCACCTAAACCAACTGGACTAGCATCCACCGTTAACTCAGTGTCTATTGATGGATCAAAGTATGCAGCAGTCGCATTCTCTACTAGTGCATCTTTCACAGCATCAAATGCATTTTGCTCGATTTCGCTCCAGTACCATGATGCATTTTTCTTCAGGAGCTCACGTAGAGGCTTTGTAATGGTAGCAAAATCTGGAATGAAGCGAGAACAGTAGTTTGCCATTCCCAGAAAACTATGTACTTCAGTGGACGTTGAAGGAGGTGCAGCATTCTTGATATCTGCAACTTTCTTAGGATCTGGAGACAGACCTTTGTCACTAAGTACATGTCCAAAGAATTCAATTTTATGTTGATTGAACTCACACTTTGCTCGGCTTAGCGTCAAATTCTTTTCTCGTAAGCGTTGCAATGTTGCACGAAGAGCTTTGTCGTGTTCAGCTTGGGTACGGCCATAAACAATGATGTCATCAGACATGTTGTCAGCATTAGGTATGTCTTGCAATACCTGGCTGATGATGTGCTGGAATACCTCGGCAGCACTGTTGATGCCAAAACTCAGGCGCTTGTACCTATACAGACCTCGATGTGTCGTAAACGTTGTGATGAATCGACTCTCCTCATCAAGTTCAAGCTGATGATAGCCCTTGTTTAAATCTAACTTGCTGAATACAGTTGCACCATTCAAGCGGTAGATCATATCATCTACAGTCGGTGTAGGATGGCGTTCACGCATTATTGCCTTGTTGGGAACACGCATGTCCACACAAATGCGTATCTCATCTGGATTCTTCGGCTTTGGTGGAGTGACAATTGGGCTTACCCATGGTGTTGGGCCTGTTACTGGTTCAATGATATCTAGTTCTATCAGCCTATCCAGTTCGGCATCGACTTTCTTGCGAGTATGGAATGGTTGTCGGCGATGTGGTTGGGCAACTGGAATTACATCTGGGTTGATATGCAGATGTACTTTGCTATCAGTATAACAACCTATGGATTTAAATCGATCAGAAAATTCAGCAACAATACCATCAACAATGTTTGCAGATTCCACTGCTACAGCATTAGAAAGCTGAAGTAGCCCCAATTTGGTTGAAGTCTTGTAACTGAGTAAAGACTCCTTTGCATTCCTAACAACATGGAATGTAGTAATGAGCATTGCATTCTTTGACTTAATCTCTGCAGTGAAAGTTCCAATCACTGGCAAGGCTACCTTTGAAGCATAGGCAGTGGCTTTGCCATTATAGTTCTCAAGCTTTGGGAACTGTTTTTTAAATTTTTCATAGTGGCACTCAGCAATGGTATCAATGTTTGATCCAGTGTCAATAAGAACTTTGAGACAAATACCAGCAATGTATACACATGTCTCTGGGTTGTTTGGAAGATCATTCCATTCTGTGATTGCTTGTACTCCATAAGTATAATCACATTCACTGTCATCTGAGACTGGTTGTAATGAAATGTTGTCTTGTACATTGTTAACATTCTTGATTTGAGGTGCAATATTGTGTTTACCACCTCGACCCCTATGACCTGATCCTCGTACAGTGCTTTTATTCATTGACTGTGGTTTCTTTAGTGCAGAACGACACATAGCACCAAAATGACCTAGTTTCCCACACTCATAGCACTTCTTACCTTGAGCAGGACAAACATTATCTTGGTGTGGGTAGTCTCCTCCACAATTGTAACATTTATTGTTGACACCCTCTGATGTGGGTCGTTGTGACTGCTTGAGCCTTGTTCCTTGACCCCAGTTGTGACGTGGTTCTCGGCTAAATTTACTGTTAGGTTTGCCATGATATCTTCTTTGATCACGGTGTCCTCCCTGAACCTTACGTACCTCATCACTGTTAGTAACAGTGGCAGAACCGTTATTGGCACTGCACTCCATGACACGAGCATCACGTGCAGCATCTTCCATTCGACGAGCAATATCCAGTATCTTGGTAAGAGAACTTTCATCATCAACAAGTTCTAGAGCTCTTCGACGGAGACGTGTAGATGTGCATGTTTCAATTATTTGCTGTTTGATTTCTTTGTCAACATCAGCAAACTCACAATGGGCTGCTAAACCCTGCAGACGTGTGTGGTATTGATCCACAGTTTCATTAGAGAGTTGTTTTGCTCTCCTGAAATGCATAATTTCCATTGCAGTATTTTGCCTTGGTTTGAAATGCTCTGTTTGTTTGGCTTTGGCAGTGTCATAATCTTTGGCACCACCAGTGTCTTTCAGTGTGTCAAAGATGTCACAAACTCTATCACCTGCATAATGAAGTAGAAAGGCACGCTTTCTTTCAGCACTTTTGATGTCAGAAACTATCAACAAATTTTCAAACCTTTTAAGCCATTTGACCCACCTCTGTGACAGGTTTGTCTGGTCACAGTCAGGATCAAATGCAGGAAACTGAAGTATATTTGCCATTTCTTACTGAATAAATGTAAACTTATCACTTAAATGTTCCTCAGAATATTAAACACTTACTGCACTGAATATGTTAGTCAAGAATTCACTGTAATTACTTTAATTTTGCAAAGCACACAAGCATTTTAATGCAAAAGTTCACAACAGTGCACAATATAGCAGCAACTGACTTCTTACCTAGCCCTTGTGTACATGTGTTGTTCCTACTCACAGCAGCAGCACAGCAGTTGGCACAGCAGTTGGTACAACAGCAGTTGGTACAGCAATTGGTACAGCAGTCAGTTCAGTGTGATGAATTTTGTAGCACGAAGCGTCGTTTCGTAACCAAAACATCAGGTTTTGTACACATCAATGCGTCGTTTCGTACACAACGTCGGCAGATTCCTCAGTACAGTTTCTTCAGCACAGCTTGGGTAGCACACAGCTTGGGTAGCACACAGCATCGTTTAGCACACAGCATCGTTTAGCACACAGCATCGTTTAGCACACAGCATCGTTTAGCATACAGCATCGGATATGGCGCTCACAGCTTCTCTTCCTCCTCCAGGCAGCATGCTTCTCCCTTGTGTTTGAAACTGAACAAATACATGCGTTCACAGTTCATCCTCGTCGCCAATGTGGTGTTTGTGTGTTACTGAGGAAGTCTTGGTTGTAGGGTTGATGTAAAGTCATTGCTTGGTTACTGACTTTAATACTTAATATGATTACAGGACTAGTAGCTACCAAGCTTGGCTGGCGTCCTGTACGCTCTTGTTTACCTCCACTCTCTCTCTGGCGTCTCAGCCGCCGCACATAGAAAACGGATGGTACCATTTTCTGTGAACATGACAGGCGCTAGAGGCAAAGGGCTTAACACTCCTACCTCCTCATCAATTCCATGCAGTGAGGATCTTCATTCACAGAGTGAGCGACAGCATTGCTGAGCAACCCATTACTGAGATCGTAAAGAGCATCAACGCTCTGAATCGATCCCTCACAGCCATCTCGGCCCACCTCATCCAGCAGGGTGAGAACTCGAAGCCCACCCTCAAGGTCACCCTCAAGACTCCGGCAGAGGCTACTCTCGCGGCCGACAACGGCCTCAGGTGCTTTGGTGTGGCCTGCACACCCCACCAGATTGCTAGGCAGCGATATTTCCGCCTACGCCAGTGCTTCAAGTGTTATCAGTACACTCACTATTCTCATAAGTGCCTCAACCCTCAGCAGAAATGCAGCATCTGTGCTGGCGACCACCATTACAGGACCTGCAAAGCCACTACCAAGCGTTGTTTACTCTGCAACGGTGACCACACAGCCGTCTTTCAAGACTGCCCCACCAGACAGGCGGAAATCAAGAAAATGACTGACGCCAGACCACGAAATTCTACTACAAGATCGAAAGCATTCAACATACAAGAAGAAGCCTTCCCAGCACTCCCGACAAGTGGCGCCGCGAGTGGCGCGCAACCAAACTACTGGACCTGGACGTCCTCCCGTGGCAGCCACTCAGCCCCAGACGACACCTCTCAACCAAGCCAGCCAGCCGTCCTCACTCACGCCGCCACCAGCCACCCCTGACAGCACTGTTGCAGCTCTGATTCACTTCGCAACAGAAATGTCAGGTGGTGATCTCAAGAAACGGTACGAAATATTCAGCGACTTGTACAAGCTCAACAACCTCCCGACGTTTGTGATACCAGAGGCCATGTTTACCGGTTACTCCTCTCAACCAGTCCAACCCCACGCCAGAGACACCTGTCAACCCGGACTATTACTCCAGTCATACCTGCGACTACATCATCTGCAACGATACTGCCACCAACTGCTCCTGTAGACATCAACATGTCTAATAACGACTCTACTGACTATGTCGACATTGATGACGACTCTACTGACTATGTCGACATTGATGACGACTCTACTGACTATGTCGACATTGAAACAAACTCGCCACTCCCAGCCCAACCAGCTTATGATACTCCAGCAATAAGAAAACTATCAGCAACGTAGCAACACCGCGCATTGATCTCCTGCATGTCGTCGGCTCACCAGCCGTATATTCAACTCTATGTATGAGGAACACTTACGGCGTGCGCCTGGAACGAAGTGCGTGCTTGAAAACGAACTAATCTTCATGGAATGTGACGAACATACACCGACAGCCGATCACTTCCCCAGAGACTACGTCAAGTACAAAGCCAAACAACAAACAAAGAAAAGGAAAAAGAAGACATAGCATGAGGATTATGACCTAAGACGCACTGAGGGCAGCTGCCTTCAGCCCAACCAGCTGCCCTCAGCCCAACCAGCTGCCCTCTCCCAACTCTTTAGGGGGATGGGGACCTAATTTTGCTCGTTTTGAGGTGGTGGAATCCCTGTAAGCTTCAGAGCAGACCGACGTGGAAGACAGAAGACTCCAGCTTCAAAGAAGAAAAGACTCCACACATTAAGAGGAAAGACCTCACATCGCCGCCCCTCCCTCGGGACCCTGCCTCCTAGCCTAAGCCAGCCTGGTGTTCAGGAAGACTCATTTTACACCGTGCAGCTGGGTCTAGCCCTGGCTCTGTCTCTCCAACTCCGACGTTTCCTCTCACCCAGGCTATTCTTCAACTATATCCACTTCAAAGCTCACCCCAATGGGTACCTTGTCCTATATTTAGTTCTTTCGTCCAGGATGTCCCCAAGGGACAGTCACAGATAGCAGGTATTTTATATATAAGGTTTATATGAAACTCTTAATTTTTACTTTAAATCATAAAGTTAATAATTATATAATTTATATAAATGAGCGTGTGCATGCTGCTGTTAACGGGTCTATCCGCACTTCACCCATTTCCTGCAAGGGTGTTTCTTAAGACTTCTACCCAGTTATTCATTCTTCAATCCGAGCCCATTGGGAGGATTGCTGGTCTTGTTACTGGTAACGAGGTGCATTTTCTTACGGGTAGCGTGTCTCCATGGCCTTCCTCCTATTACCATATCTGGCAGTGGGAGATGACTCTGGCGAGGTTACGTATTGACCATACCTGTTTAACTCGCGGGCACTTAATGAAGCACCACCCTGCTCCTTATTGTCCCCTCTTAAAGTTGTGCATATCCTTGTTGAATGTTCTGATTTCCAGGATATGCGCATCTTGTTTCCAAACTGTCCCTCGCGGTCACCTGTTCCTCGATAAAATCTTCGGGGGCATCTGATGTCATTTACATTGTGTGCTTTTCTTGTATATGCATCCTTATTGATATTTAGTGCCTTCTTTTGATAATTACTTACTTACAGGAAAGTAAGCCACTGTTAAAGTGGGTGAAGGAAAATCAATCTACGACCCAGCAAAAGAGAGAAGGCTGCACTAGCATTGGAAACAGGGCTGTCAAATGTCCAAGTAACAAAATGGTTCCTCAATTTTTACCAAAGGAGAAACAGGTCCAAGTCAGTAGAGTAAATTGATTTTGGTAGTAGAGAGAAGTAGAGGGTTTCAAGATTGTAAAGTAGGTGGAATTTGTAGGGCCAGTTAATGAAATTAGGGCAAATTTCATTGTCAAGGCTAAAGCTTTATTAGGAATCGGTGAAAAATATTCCTCGGCAATTGTGAACAATACTATTGTTTTATTAAAGTTTTACTAGTAGTTTGTGACTGTGGCCACGGTCGCAACACGCTACACATTTTATCCTTTTTCAAATAAAGTATTTTGGTAAATAATTGTTCACAATTTAAACAATTTCTTTAGCTCTGGGCATGCTGGGCTGATGGTGAGGCTGGGTGTGCCCTCCTGGTTATGCCATGCATGTCAACCCATCTTCCTGTTTTGATAATACTTTTGGTAACTATATGAGAAATCACCAACAATGGTGTAAGTATTGTACTTCATTCATAATGATATGCTGCCCGAAATCTTAGCGAAGTATCCAAAATTTGCTTACTGTAGGTAATGCATGTACGACTGTAAACTACCGCCCAGTTGGGTGGGTGTGCAGCAAGACTAGTAACTTTGTGACTCACCAGGATGTAAAGTGCCTTGTATAGTGACTTGTGAGCCTCTTGTTGAATTATTTATGATACAAAAGATTATTGGTGTGTGATTTGTGTAAGTGATTGAATATGGATGTGTATATGTATATATATGTACATATATGATGAGTATGTGTACATGTATATATAACATTAATAATTGTGTAACTAAAATCAAAATATTTGCTTAGCTTAACTATTAGAGGGTTCAGTTCCTGAACCGATTGTGCCTCTGTAATCCTTTACACCACCGCCCACGGGATGGGTATGGGGTGCATAATAAAGAAAAATTGAATTGATCGGTTGTGCTATATACCTAACCTATTTATATCCTGTTACAAATAAAAGCAGATTATTAGTGGTTTTATAGTTATTTTAAATACTGTACTTGTATTATGTACCATTAAACTCTGCATTGGTTTTGGACTTACTGTACATCAGATGACATTTTATTCCAGTATTGTACAACTCTGCAGGCAAGGCCATTTTGTTTTCCATATTAGTGTTGCATCTGGTTCCCCGCGAGTTTCATCCCATTATTTATCATAGTTGAAATTGTTTTCAGCTTCAAAGAATATAAATTTAGATCTTTTAGCCTTTGTTCAAAGGCTTTATTTCTTGATGGTGTTTATGTCAAAAAGCCTTCTAATTACTGAGTGGTCAAATAAGGTCAAAATACATGAATTCTTTCTTTACTTTGCTTTACTTTATCATCCCCCCCCCATTACAATAAGATTAAGGACTTGCCTGAAATGCTACACGTGTTAGTGGCTGTACAAGAATGTAAGAACTCATATATATAAATAAATAATAATTATAAAAAAAAATATAAATTTATTAAGTTCCACAGTCTAGTAGAGTAGTGCAAGCGTAGACAATTTGCTTAATTCCACTAATACAGTTTGCTGCACTATAACTATACCCCACTAATAATGTACACTGAAAAATACAGCAGTTGTAGCATCAATTATAAACAATATAAATGATGCACTGTAGCAACAGTTTTTTTTTCCAGGGATATTCCTGCGCGGGCCCTAAGCCTCTGGGTGGCCCACTAACAAGAGTTTCAGAATCTCCCTTGTGGATACCTTTGTATAGATATATTATCCAACATGATGAATGGTCAAGTTAGCTAAATTTACACTATTGCTCGCTTTGGACACCGATCACGTCCATTTTTTTTTTCTCCCGAGTCGCAGCTGTGGTCAGGACTTAAGTCCACAACAAAAAATATTTGTAAAAAAATCATTTTTTATCCGATTGACCTCAGGATAGTTAAAAAAAAGCGCCTTTAACATGCGCACAATTTGATACCAAAATGAAAGATGTAACACGAAACGATGTCAGAACACTTGAGAGATTATAAATACTTTTTGGGTCTAAATTTTAAATTTTAAAATATTTGTTAAAATTCTATTTATTGTGCTATTATTATGGGACTAGTTTTAAAATGCGCGCCTTTATATTGCGAACAATTTGATACCAAAACGAGCGATGTAACATGAAAATTGATGTTATCAAACTGAACGAGTATACACATTAGGTTGTGGTGTGCAAATTGGTGCTCGTTCACGGGTAACTTTAGGCTTTGCTGCGGGGAGTCTCGCCAAGCTTTTGGACATTATATGCATATACATCTGCAGGGAATTTAATTGCGAACACAATGATACCAAAACGAACGACGTAGCACAAGAATTAAGGTGAAAAAACCGAAACGAGTACACACATTTAGGCGTCGCCGCACGCTCGCCCGCCCCATTGGCTCCATGACGTCAAAGTCTGGTGCGCGCATGGCGCCGGCAATACTGTTAACTTGCATGCAATAAGTCTGAAACTGAACTAAACATAGGTATTGTAATTTGTTATAAAAAACACATTATTTCAAGAAACTAGGGCTGACAGATGAGCTGTTTCAAGTTGAGGACGGCTTCCTCAAGCTTGTAGTTTACACACGTGTGGGAAAATGTAGGGCGAGTCTCACCGCAATTGAGGCAGCAATTGAGGCAGCGAGCCTGGGGAGAAAAGCATCGTCTTAAGAGTGGCCATCGTCCCCACACATAGGGGCATGGAGACAAGACTTGTTCATTTGAGGGCACCATGCTCGAACTTCCATCACTTATTACAAAACCTAGGAAAGGGAGTGTACTCCTAAACGGAGCATCTGGCACCAGCAAGAATTATAGAGGGTGGAAGGGTCCTAGTATCAAAGGTTGGTTTCAAAACTCGTTGCTGATGGCGACGACCACGAGGGGGGGGGGGAAGGGTTGTGTGATCGTGTCCACCTGGAGGACAGGATGGCCTTGAGCCTCGAGGTTTTGTTTAATATACTCGTGGCAGTCTTTTAGGTCCCTAACACCAGTTACGACACGGTGCGGGAGGACAACAGTGCCAGCACTGGCATTTAAACAAATAGTAAAACTCAAACCAAACAAATCCCCAGGGGCCGGATGAAGTGTTTGCCAGGGAGCTTAAAGAATGCAAAGAGGAACTTTACCAGCCATTGTCTACCATATTTAATAAGTCATTAGAATCGGGCAGAGTGCCAGAGTTTAAACGTCTCTAAGCACTATA